GCGCAGTCGGTTAAGTGTCCGACTTCAGCCAGGTCACGATCTCGCAGTCCGTGAGTTCGAGCCCCGCGTCAGGCTCTGGGCTGATGGCTCGGAGCCTGGAGCCTGTTTCCGATTCTGTGTCTCCCTCACTCTCTGCCCCTCCCCCGTTCATGCTCTCTCTCTGTCCCAAAAATAAATAAACGTTGAAAAAAAAAAATTAAAAAAAAAAAAAAGTTAAAAAAAAAAAAATTAAAAAAAAAAAATGGAAGTCCTCAAAAAATTAAAAATAGAACTACCATTAAGTAATTCCACTTCTGGGTATTTATCCAAAGAAAATGAAAACACTTACTTGAAAAGATATCTGCATGTTCATTGCAGCATTATTTATAGTAGCCAAGATACGGAAACAATATAAGTGTCCATGGACAAATGAATGGATGAAGAAAATGTGGGATGGATGGATGGATGGGTGGATGGACGGACGGACAGACAGACAGACAGGGGGAGGTATATAATGGAATATTATTCAGCCATAAGATAGAACGAAATCTTGCCATTGGTGACAACATGGATAGACCTTGGGGTATAATGCTAAGTGAAATAAGTGAGACAAAGAAAGACAAATACCATATGATTTTACTTATATGGGGAATCTAAAGACAAAAACAAAAACCAACAATAAAAAAGCAAAACAGGTTCATAGATACAGAGAACAGATTGGTGGTTGCCAGAAGCAGGGGGCTGGCAGTGAGCGAAATGGGAGAAAGGAGCCGAAAGGTACAAACTTTCAGTTCTAAAATAAATTAGTCATGGGAATGTAATGTATGGCATATTGGCTCTTACTAATAATACTGTGTTGCATATTTGAAAGTTGCTAGGAGAGAAGATCTTAAAAGTTCTTACCACAAGAAAAAAATTCTGTAAAAAAGTTCTGTAACTGCATGTAGAGATGGGTATTATACTAGATATATTGTGGTGGTCATTTCACAATTTACACCGATACTGAATCATTATGTTATATACCTGAAACTAATATAATGTATATCAATTACACTTCCATTTTTTTTTTTCAATGTTTATTTATTTTGGGGACAGAGAGAGACAGAGCATGAACGGGTGAAGAGCAGAGAGAGAGGGAGACACAGAATCGGAAACAGGTTCCAGGCTCTGAGCCATCAGCCCAGAGCCCGACGCGGGGCTTGAACCCACGGGCTGCGAGATCGTGACCTGGCTGAAGTCGGACGCTTAACCGACTGCGCCACCCAGGCGCCCCTATACTTCCATTTTTTAAAAGACCCAATCAAAATCCCAGCAAGCTGATATCAATGAATGTGTTCTAAGGTTTAAATGGAAAAGCTAAGACCTTGAATAGCAACACAATACTGAAGAACACAGCTGGAGGACTCATACTACCCTATTTCAAGACTTATATTAAGGTACAATAATCAAGACAGTGTGGTATTGGTGAAAGAGTAGACATATATATAAGTAGAAAAGAATAGACGACCTAGAAATAGATTCACACAAATATAGTCAAGTAATCTTTGACAAACGAGCAAAGGCAATTCATTTGAGAAAGGGTAGTCTTTTCAATAGATGAGACTGGAAAAATAGGATATTTACATCTAAAAAAAGAATCTAGACGTAGACCTTATATGTTTTACAAAGTTTACTCAAAATTGATTGTAGACTTAAATATAATACACAAAGCTATAGAACTTCTAGAAGAAAATTTAGGCAACCTTGGGTTTGGTGATGAATTTTTAACGTTTATTTATTTTTGAGAGAGAGACAGACAGACAGAGCTTGAGCAGGAGACAAGCAGAAAGAGAGGGAGACACAGAATCTGAAGCAGGCTCCAGCCTCTCAGCTCTGAGTATGTTTCAAGTATGTTAGCAAGCTATCAGCACAGAACCTGATGCGGGGCTCGATCTCATGGACTGTGAGATCACGACCTCAGCCGAAGTGGGTCAGTTAACCGACTGATCCACCCAGGCGCCCTTGGTGATGAATTTTTAAATAGAATACGAAGACCATGGCACATGAAAGAGAAAATTGATAAGTTGAACATCATTAAAATTAAAAACTTCTGCCCTGTGAAGACACTTTTAAGAAAAATGAGGGGCACTTCGATGGCTCAGTCGGTTGAGCATCCCACTTCAGTTCAGGTCATGATCTCACGGTTCGTGGGTTCGAGCCCCGTGATGGGCTCTGTGCTGACAGCTCAGAGCCTGGAGCCTGCTTCGGATTCTGTGTCTCCTCCTCTCTCTGCCCCTCCCCGGCTCACGCTCTGTTTCTCCCTGTCTCTCAAAAATTAATAAATGTAAAAAAAATTTTTTTAAAAAAGAAAAATGAAAAGGCAAGTCACAGACTAGGAGATATATGTGCAAATCATATACCTGATAAGTTATTTGGGTATATTTGTATATATGTATATATTTATATATCCATGATATACAAAAATTAAAAACACAAGAAATAACAGGTGTTTGTGAGGATGTGGAGAAAGGGGAACCCTCCTGTACTGTTGGTGGGAATGCAGCTGGTGCAGCCACTCTGGAAAACAGTATGGAGGTTCCCCAAAAAGTTAAAAATAGAAGTACCTTATGATCCAGCAATCACACTACTTTGTATTTACCCAAAAAACATGAAAGCACTAATTCAAAGGGATACATGCACTCCGATATTTATAGCAGCATTGTATACAATAGCCAAGATATGGAAGCAGCCCAAGTGTCCATCGACTGATGAATGGATAAAGAAGATGTGGTATACACACACACACACGCACACACACACACACACACACACAATGGGATATTATTCAGCCATAAAAAAGGAAATCTTGCCATTTGCAATGACATGGATGGAGCTAGAGAGTGCTATGCAAAGCGACATAAGTCAGAGACAAACACCCTATGATTTTACTCATATGTGGAATTTAAGTAACAAAGCAAACAAGCAAAGGGAAAAAAAATGAGAGAGAGAGGCAAACCAAAAAACATACTCTTAACTATAGAGACCAAATTGATGATTACCAGAAGGGAGGTGAGTGGGGGAATGGGTAAAATAGGTGATGGGGATTAAGGACTGCGCTTGCCATGATGAGCACAGGGTGATGTATGGAAGTGTTGAATCACTAAATTGTACACCTGAAACTAATATTACGCTGTATATTAACTAAATGGAATTTAAATAAAAACTTTAAAAAAAAGAAGATACAGAGATGGCAAATGCATATGAAAAAATGTCATCCTTTGACATTAGGAAATTGCATATTAAAACAATGAGACCTCTACACACCTTTTGGAGTGACTATTATAAAAAAAAACACCTGACATATAGCAAATGCTGATGAGAATGCGGAGCTGGTAGGAATGCAAGATGTTACAGCCACTTTGGAAGACAGTTTGGCAGTTTCTCATAAAGCTAAACTAGTCTCACTATATAATCCAGCAATTTCACTCTTAAGTATTTACCCAAATGAGTTGAGAACTCATGTTCACTCAAAAACCTGCAGACAAATATTTATAGCAGTTTTATTTATAATCACGAAAATCTGGGAGCAACCAAACTGTGGTACATCCAGACAATGACATATTAGTGATAAAGAGAGAGAGAGCATGTGCTGTGAAGACACAAAAAGACACGGAAGAAGCTTTTTTTTTTAATGTTTATTTTTTTGAGGGAGAGCGTGAGTCGGGGAGGGACAGAGAGGGGGGGGACAGAGGATCCAAAGTGGGCTCTGCGCTGACAACAGGGGGCCCAGTGTGGGGCTTGAACTCACAAACTGTGAGATTATGATCTGAACTGAAGTCGGACGCTCAACTGACTGAACCATCCGGGTGCCCCAAGACATGCAAGAACCTTAAATGCAAATGGCTAAGTGACAGAAGTCAGTCTGGAAAGGCTATATTCTGTATGGTTCCAACTATATAACATTTGGAAAAGGCAAAAACTGTAAAGACAATAAATAGATCAGTGCCAGAGATTCAGGGAAAGAGGAGGAGGGTTGAAGTAGGGGATTTTTTTAGGATCATGGAACTATTTTGTATGATACTTATGCATTTGTCAAAACCCACAGAACTTTATAGCACAGAGTGAACCGTAGTATATGCAAATGTAAAAATAATATTTAGGAGGTTAGAGGATCCAGGGAAGGAATGAATATAGACTATGACAAGAGAAGCTAACTGTATTTCAAATGTATGAACCAACCCCCCTTGAAGGGGTGAGGGGGGGAGGTGTTGACCTAAGTAACTTTGGAATGAGTATGTAAGACTAAATGCTAAAGGAATTACACATCACAGTTATACTTTAGTTAACAAAGTTGTTTCCTGTGGGGGTTCAGGTTGAAAAATGCTGATACCACTATGCATATATTCTGGAATTAAACAATTAAATAAATGGATGAGATGGTGGGAGTCAGATTTCTCCTTGTTGGAGTAGGAATTTACAGATAAGTGAGGGAAAGAGGCTAGAATGATCCTTTTGATAATAGAATTGGGGTACATCAGTGTGAATTCATGTTTAGCCTAACATAGACATAAATGATTAAATATTATAGGTGTTTGTATACACACATGTTAATATTCACACATACATGTCCTTGCTCTGTTGGCAGAGGGCCTGAAAAAAATGACACCCCAGGAGCAAAAAGTATATCCAGCCACCAGATCTTTGGTTCCATAGCCTTCTCCAATAAAAGGAACCATGGCTCCTTCGAGAAATGGCTGATTCTAGGACTGGGGTCGAAAATACATAATACGAGTCTAGAGAATCTTTTAGTGCCAGAAAGCAAGGGATGAATTAATTAATTGTAAATAATTGTGAATTAAAATGTGCTATACTGCTACAAGATGTTAATAACAGAAAAATGGGTGCAGAGTATATGGGAACTCTATGCTATTTTTTCAAGTTTTGTGTAAACCTAAAACTATTCTACAGTAACGTATAGTAAATAAATGAAAGTACTGTTGGAAGGTCTCACAATAATCCAGCGGTTTCTGTCTCTCCCGCAGTTTTGAAAGTGTTTGCTGTCTTGCTGACTCTTCTTCTCTCTCAGACATCACTTTTGATGGCAATCCAATAGCTCAAGAGTCATGGTACAAACACACTATCCTTCAGAATATGATGCAGCTGCGCCAGCTAGATATGAAGAGAGTTACGGTGAGAACTCTTGTGAAGCGCTTGCCAAATTGTCTTCCTTACTGTGGATTGGGAGATTGGGGTGCATGTTCTTTGCTCGAAATGCTTCTTGGTTTTAATAAACTATGTTATCATGACAATATAATTCATAATTATAAGTACAAATTTTTTTTTTACCACCCGTCCCTTTTTTCCAATTTCATCGAATAGCGCTGTTAAATAACAGAAATTCACCTGAGTACATTTGAAAGACCTAATTGACTTTATTAATCAATTCATGAATTGGGCAGCATCCTCTTTAGCAAGTAGAGAGGTGCTCCCAGTGATTACAGAAAAAGAAAGGTTTTTAAAGGTAGAGAGGGAGTGGAAAAAGGGAAATTATTAGCAAGTTGTTGTAGGCAAGGTCACCCCTCTGAAGGGAACGGAAGGGAAGGGAAGGGAAGGGAAGGGAAGGGAAGGGAAGGGAAGGGAAGGGAAGGGAAGGGAATGGAAGGGGTTCATCAGTAAACTTCCTAGTGCTGATGAGGAGGTTGACTGGTTACAGGTTACATTTTGGGAGGGTCAAAACTACACTTAGGTTAGGTAGTAAGTCTTGGTTTACTCGCTTGGGGCCTTAACAAGTGACACTATTTTCGGTCTTCTTTCCCTCTTTCTTCTTCTTCTCCTCCTCCTCCTCCTTCTCCTTCATTCCTAACCTTTTATTTAAATTAATCATCACAACTGGTTTCCATTCTGGCTTAATACCCAACTAATAGTTTAGTTTGGAATGGATGAGTAAAAACATCATTGGTAAGTTACATAATGTAATGTTTTAAGAACGTGAGTGCCAAAGCCAGACCGCTTGAGTCTGGATCCTCGCTTGACCATATTCTAGCCGAATGACCTTTGGGGATTTACTTAACCTTTCTATATCTCATTTTCCTCAAAGTAGAATGGGAGGTCATGATTATGTCATAGAGTTGTTGTCAAGATAAAATAAAGTACTAACCCTTAGAACAGTGTGAGGCTCATAGGAAGCGTCACATCGAGCTGTTGTGTGTAATGCCATACTTCTCAGAGTCATTCTCTTTTATTCGTTCTATCTGCATGTTAGGTATTTTCTATACTTAGATGTTTTAATATGGCTCCTGATCTAAGTGAAATGCTATACATGCACCTTCTAGGCATACAGTGCACATTAGCATATCATAGGTTTCAAGAAGCTCTATAACAAACTTGCCTTAATTGGTTTCGTTGCAGCCCATATTTATTCAAATATTTTCCTATCTCAGAAAACATCCATTAATGATCTCAGTTCAGTAACCCCAGAGCTAGAAAAATATCCTAAACCTCCACTTGTTTTCTGACTTCTAGACTCTGCTAATTTTAATGTGGATTTTGAGTGGTCAGCTATTCAAGTGCCAATTGACTCATTGTCTAGAATCCATTTTCACAATGTGCACATTTTACATTTCTGTCTCAGCAATATCATGGCCATCTAAGGTAGCCAGCAGATAGTTACAAGTGTTGATGAATTCGTGCATGCCAGGGGTCTTCTAGGGCTCTGCCTGTCTTTGTTCCAGCATGGAGATGAGGTTCTTTGTCCTTAGTTTCTTCAGATCTATCCTGCGAACACTGTTTCATACTTTTACCCTTATCTCCATGTCTTTCTTAATTGAACATCTTTGGTACTTACAATTGCTCTTCCTGGTGAGATTGAGATGTTTGGGGTATGAAATGATGCTAACTCATTTGTATAAATTAGTACTTAATTATGTATTATGTTTCTCATAGTGAATTTCTGTCAGTCTTGCCTACCCAACTAATGTATACAATCCTTAAGGACAGAAGCCATTCTTCCTCCTTGCTCGATACATACAGATGGTCTATATACATGTTTATTTCCTTTCCTTCTCTATCTCACACAATGCTGAGAATGTAGTAGTATGCAATAAAGTCCCGACTGAGTGAAATTTATCTACTTTTGTGCCTGAAAGAAAGGAGAATAATGCTATATATAATCATTGTCTTTGTGCATTCCCGTGGGTTGTGTTTGCCTGGTGAGGAAATGAGAGAAAATCACCTGGGATGGGAGCAGGGCCAACTGTTCTGCTAAATACAGAGCAGCAATCCTTGTACATCTCCTCCTTCATGGTTTAATTTGAGAAATAAAAAAAATTAATGTCTTACTAAAAGCTTTCTTTGAGGTATAATTGGCATAAAATTAATTGTACATATTAACTATACAGGTTGATAAATTTCAACATGTATATCACCTGTGAAACATCACCACAGCTAAGCTTATTAATAATTCGCCACCCAGAAAAGTTTCCCAATGCCCCTTTGTTATCCCTCCTTTCCACCCCTCCCCACCCCACGGGAAAGGACCTGTGCTTTAATAAAATAATCTTTTTGCACCAAAAACATCTCAAGAAATCTTTCTTGGCCTTTGGCTCTGGACCCCATCACCATTCCAAAACCCCATCATAGTGAAGACAGGTTATAATGCAAAATGCCAAGCTAGAAAAGATAGGTTGATAGATATGTATATGTGCACACACACACACACACACACACACACACACACACACACACACACGCAGCACAATAATATTGGAGGATAAAGCACCCTTGTGTCTGCCAGAGAAATAGGAAAAGTTCCAAAGGAGAAAATACTTGATGTGGGCTTGGAGAGTGGTCAAGAAGAAGAGGATGTATCTGTGGAGAGTGTGCAGGGAGGGTGGAGGCATGCATAATGCAGAGACATGTGCGGGACTGAAAGCAGTTCAACATGGCTGGGCACTGAGTGTACGTGGAGGAGAGTAGCAGGAGCAAAGGGTGTCTCACAGGCAAGCGGTAGGCTATGAAGGGCATTTTATATCACAAGAAAGAGATTAGCTTCTTTTGTTTCTGGACATAACAGGAAGCTCTTGAAGAGTTTAAAGTGGTTAAATTACAATTGCCTATTAAAAAGAGGGTCTGCCTTGGTAGCAGCCCAGGGGATGAATTGGGAAGGATAGGATGGGTGGGATGAGAAACGGAGATTAGTTACAGTGAGAGCTTCCGGGGGTCTGACCCAGAAGAATGGCATAAGATAATATGAGGTCAGGAGACATAATGTGAGTTGATGGCCTCAGGTCCTATTTTGCTTTTGTTATCTCTGTCAAGAAGAAAGGCTTATAGTCTGTTAAGAGTAGAAATAAATATTAATAGGAAGAAAGCAAAGCCTCGGATAGGTGAATAGATAAGCTTGATCTAGAGCAAGCTATCTGGAAAGGATCTGATAGTAAATATTTCAGGCTTTGGGAGCTATATAGTCTCTGTTGAACACTACGAAATTCATTGTAGTGTGAAAGAAGGCATAGACATTACATAAATGAATGAGCATGCCTCTGTTCCAATAAAACTTTATCTACAAAAATAGGTGACAGGCTGGATTTGGTCTGTGGGCTGGAGTTTGCCAGTCCTTGATCTACAGAACTGAATAAATATAGTGAATAAATAATTACTAGAAAGAATCTTTCTTCCTTTGAAAGAAACAGTGTAGAATAGTAAAGCAGCTTCACGGTAGGATGAACTGATCTGTCTTTTTATCATAAAGGGAAAGAATATAAATTTCACAAATTGTGACAGTAAACTTGATGTTGAATACGAAGGAAATCTAAATTGGATTATTGGAGGAGTTGTCAGTACTAAAGGCATTGATCACTAGGAGGCAGCAGTGGTTCACTAAAAACAATTCATGCCAGACAAATTAATTTTCAATTTCAGATATTGTAAATCGGCTCTCTCCAAGAAGTGTTCCAGTGTTTTGCTGTTTCAGCCAAGCTTTTGACAAAGTCTTTTATGGTATTGCTTTGAGTAAGTTGTATGACGACAGCACAGTCAAGTGAATTTGGGATTCCAGCGTCCCTACAACACAGGAAGCAGTGGATTAAGGCCAGCCTGTAGAAGAATCTGTACTGGTGTGCCTTGAGGATTTTTCCTCAGGCCCTTTCGATTCAATATATAAATATTTTTTAAATGTTTATGTATTTTTGAGAGGGAGAGAGAGACAGAATGTGAGCAGGGGAGCGGCGGAAAGAGAGGGAGACACAATTCAAAGCAGGCTCCAGGCTCTGAGCTGTCAGCACAGCGCTCAACACAGAGACTCGAACCCATGAGCCACGAGATCATGACCTGAGCTGAATTTGGACACCCCACCAACTGAGTCGCCCAGGCACCCCTGATTCAATATTTTTGTTAATGACTAGATGAGAATATTTCTGTTTTTCTGAGAAAGTATATAATTGACAGGAACTAGAGAACTTGGAGATCCTGATATACTGGTTAATCGAATCACAATCCCAAAGTAGCTCAATAATCTAGAACAGGGTTTGGCAAACAACAGCCTGTGGGCCAAATCTATTCTGCAGACTATTTCTGAGCAGGTCTCGGGCTAGGAGATGGTTTATAGATTTTTTTTTTTTAAGCATTGTATTTTTAAAAAATAAAAGAAAAACCATGCGTGATAGAGATCTCACGTGGCTCACGAAGCCTGAAATATTTACTATTTGGCTCTTTCCAGAAAAAATTTGCTGACCTCTAGTGTAGAAAAATAAGCATAATTTAGCAAGACAAAAATAGATAAATTGAAAATCCTGGACTTTACTCCATGACAACAAATAATCCCCAGCACAAATGCAGAGTTACGTGAGATGAGACTCAGCAAATTGAGTTACTTGTGAGATGTGATCATTAGAAGTAAATATGGTTTAAAACAATATCATTTATAGAAACAATTCAGAAAAATGGAGACAGTAGTCCCCATTTTTTCTTTAATGATCAGATTTCACCTGAACTATTAGTTTTAGGGGGTGACAACGAACTAGAGTATGTCCAGAGGACCTGGCACAACTCATTGACAGAGGGGAGCCATAAGGAAGATATTACAGTGGTCTTCAAATATTTTCACAACTGTCCATAAAAAAAGAGAATAGACACATTTTGGGGGCCTAGAACAAGGACAATCGTATGGACAATTCTAGGAGGCAGAATTTTCTCCTTTTAATTTCTAAGGCAGTGTTTTTCTAACACAGGCACTATTCTCAGAATTCTGAAACAGACACGACTTCATAATTTCTAAAGTTTTCACTTCAGACCCACATTTATTGGCTTAATATGACCTTGTTTACAGTTTGCTCTCCAAGAATTGGAACAGCCTTATCTGAGACAGAAGTGAGTTTTCTGTTTTGGTAGCCATTACTGACGCTCGCCAATACGTTCTGATTCTCCTCCTCTTTCTGACAGGTGGAAGCATTGCCCTTAACTTAGGTGTGGTTGTGCAACTTGCTTTGGCCAATGAAGTGTGAGCAGAAGTAATGTATATAATTTTCAGGCAGAAGCATTTAAAAGCCGATGTATGATTTTCACTGCTTTTCTCCTGTGGTGGTCATTGTGGACGCATGTATTGAGTTGAAGATGCCATCAGATCACAGCACCCAGGAATACTTAGGCAGTACATGGAGGGCAGTTGTAGTGTTCTTTGAACCATCAAGAAGTAAGCTTTTGGGGCGCCTGGGTGGCGCAGTCGGTTAAGCGTCCGACTTCAGCCAGGTCACGATCTCGCAGTCTGTGAGTTCGAGCCCCGCGTCAGGCTCTGGGCTGATGGCTCGGAGCCTGGAGCCTGTTTCCGATTCTGTGTCTCCCTCTCTCTCTGCCCCTCCCCCGTTCATGCTCTGTCTCTCTCTGTCCCAAAAATAAATAAACGTTGAAAACAAACAAAAAAAAAAAGAAGTAAGCTTTTGTCTGGGCACCTGGGTGGCTCAGCCAGTTAAGCGTCTGACTCTTGATTTCAGCTCAGGTCATGATCTCACAGTTTGTGAGCTCGAGCCCTGCGTGGGGCTCTGTGCTGGCAGTGCAGAGCCTGCTTGAGATTCTCTCTCTCCCTTTCTCTCTGCCCCTCCCCTGCATGCTCTCTCTGTCTCAAAATAAATAAACTTAAAAAAAAAAAAAAAAGAAGTAAGCTTTTGTCATAAGCTCCTATAACTTTTGAAGTTGTTACGGCAGCATAACCTAGCCTATTCTGCCTCCCCTCCCCACTAATATTTAAGAGCTAATATCCCTGGGCCAAGAGAAGTCAGGTGACCTGGCTTCCAGCCTCCACTCTGACATTAACTATGACCTAGAAAAATCAGTTTTCTCTGTTAAGAAAAAGGTTGTTTAAATGAAAAATATCTCTTGTAGACAAAAACTCTGATTTTAAAGTCTGTTTTAATATTTGTTGGAGTCAAGGAAGTAATGTCTTTTATAACTAACTATTCTAAAGTATATGGTTAAAAACCCACATTGCCACGTATTTTTCTAAATTCCACATAATAAATTACTGCCTATATTAGGACCACTATTATTTATTGGAGCAAAACTTCTCATATAAAATATGCATTGTTTAGAGCCTTAATAGTCTGCTAACAGAGTATAATCTAAGTTATCAAACACCTATTAAATCACAGTACTTCTTAATTAATTTGAAGTCATTTCTATATTTTATCTTCATGACAGACTGAAGTCAGGAAAAAAGTATATATTTTTTGGTCCCAGATAGATCCTTTTCCTTTGCTATATAAAGGATATGGCTTTGATCCCAGACATTGAACTATTATCATGAAGATGCCAGAATTTTACAGTTTTTTCCTTCTTACCAACAGATTTATAGCTTATCTTTACAATTAGAGGTTTATTTTTGTTTCCAAGTTTAGTTACTCTGTAATTATTTGGGCTGAAATATAGTCATCAGATGTATAAATTCCTTAAAACACTCAATATTTGAGTTGATTTGGCATGTATCCAATTTTCTTAGGTTTAGCCTTCCTTTTAAAGTCCTACTGCCTTTAATAGAAGCTCAAATTCTTTTTGAAAATCTGATGAAATCATCTGTTAAGTATGTGTAATACGTGATCCATACAGTTTCCAGTACTGTTTGAAATTGGCTCTTTGAGTTACCAATCTGTTTCTAGTTCACATTTTATAGATGAATCAACAATTGAACATCAATATAGTTTGCTCTTTTAAAAAGTTTGTTCTGAAACAGGTTATACTTAATAGGTTCCAAATCAGTATTTACTGAACCAAAGAGTTTAATTGTTAATCCAGCTATTTTGGGAAGCTAGGAATCAAGCTTCTGAATTTCCTATTCACTATATTTCTCCTCATAACCACTATTCAGCCTTCAAACACCAAGAATAACTATTTTCCATATTGTAAAAGACTTCAAATTCACCAAAAGTCACATTCAATTTCCATTCCCTTTAAAACAATTAAACCATATAGCAGATTACTACTGAACTTTAATAGCTTTCATATCTTTCTAAAATCAGTAAAATACATTTAAATGTGTTCTTATTATAAAAAATACTACAAATTCCATTTCTCACAAGACATGGCTTCTGATCCTGATCCTGACTTTGTCACTAGCCATGTGACCTTGTATAAATTACTAACCTTCTCAGAGTATTCAGTTCTTCATTTCTAAAATTAGAGTGTTCCAATGGATGCATTTCTGGTTTTCTTTTTAGCTCCGTGATAATTTTTCTTTGTGCATTTTTTATATACCTCTTTAGTCTAGGTCTTTTCTTTCTTTTCAAAAGTATTTATAATGGCTCACCCCCCAGAATACATTTTCATGGCCTCTTTCACCTTCCTTACTTCTAACATAATATATGTACTGATCAGGATAGGCTAGATTATACTGTAGTAACAATTTCTCTGACCTCAGTGGATTAAAGCAACAAGGTTTATTTCATGCTCATACTGCCTGTCTGCCCATAGTATGTGGTCTGGGAACTTTGCTCTGTGTTGTCCTCGTTCCAGCACCAAGGCCTTCAAAGTACCCACCATGTGGAGCTTTACAGATCCGATAGCAGAGGTGAGAGAGGGAACAGCTATGCCATTCACGGTCTTTGAAATCTTCCTCCAGAAGTAAACACATGTTACTTTTGTTCACATGACATTGGTCAAAGGAGGCCACATAACCGCACCTAACTTTCAAGGGACAAGAATTGCTATCATACAGTATGGCCTGGACGTGGAAAGACACAGGAATACTTGGTCAACAGCTCTTGTGACTATCTGTCATGTTTTAAATCACACACCGACTTCTGGTAGGGGTGGAAATCAATACTACATTTATGGAGGGCAGTTTGTCAACGTATCAAGAGCCCTAGAAAAAGGTGTCTTCCATTTGATTTAGTGGTCCTGGTTTTAGGAAATTATTGAACATCTATGAAGATGTATATTTAATAATTAATTCTTCAAACATATATTTATTGGCTATCCTGACTGTGTCAGGAGCTGACATGGTCCATACCTTCAAAGAGCTTTTGGGGTAGGACAGGAGAGAGAGAGAGTAGCAGAAATAATTAAAATGGAACTGGTTAAGTCCTATTGTGGGGGAAGATACGGTTCTATGAAGGTATATGGGAAAATTTTTTCTGACCTGTTTTCCAGTTGCCTGATTCTCTTTAGCTGTGTACAATTTGCTCTTCAACTCCCTTCCACTGGATTTTTTCATTTCACTTTCCGTATGTTTTCATTTCTGAAAGAGGAATCAAATGTGCTAAATTACTTTTTGTAGTTTCTATCTCTGAAGATATTTTCAAGCTTGTCTTTTCAGAAGGAATTGTTTTCTCAAATTGTGACATCATCTTGAACACCTGCAAATCTTTTGATACTAAAATTTAAAGTTACATGGTTATAATTTGCAAAATGTGATAATCTTTAGGGGGGAAAAAGCCCATGACCCACATTGTGTATACATATAATATAGTGAACATTATAAGGTGACACAGAAACGACAAGATGTGATTTACCATGTTGGAATTGTGGCCGATTTTTAACATTTTTTCTAAACCATATGTTATTTTGTAGTTTTTAGAATTTAAGAAGTTAGACTGGCCAAATCAACTTAAAGAAAGTAAAAGTAATGTATTAATGGAGAATAATTTTATGAATATTTAATATGGAGAGTTTTAAAAGGCTTTCACACTTGTTTTATTATTTAAAAAGCTCTGATTTACATCCATAGATCAAATAAAAGTTGTGAGAAGTGTAATGCTGGTCATTTTTATCTTCATAGTAGAAAGATTTTAAGTCTTTCTATGTGAAACTGTAGTGCATGGCTCTTGAGAAAAAAACTATGTAAACCTGCTCCCCCTTTCTTCTTGCTCTTTTCATTCTGTTTTCTTTCATGTATTAGCTAGGCTCAACTCACATCAACAATTGGGAGTAGAGTTAAGAACATAGTTTTTTTTACAATTGGGAAGGAAGCAGAAAACGAGACATTTTTCCACGAGCAAGTCGTACGCTTCTCACAAAGAGAACCAGGCTTGCCGAACCCAAGAAATAAAGGTTAAGTACTTCATAACACTTGTCAACACTTTTTCTTTTAGGAAGAAGAAAGGCGTATGGCATCTGTTGTAGCCAAAAAAGAGGAAGAGAAGAAGCGGGAAAGTCATAAACAATCCTTGCTGAAGGTACTTTCTCAAACGAGTGCATGCATGTGTGTGCCCGCACACTCACCTACGCCGAAACTAGCTAGCTAGTCAGCTGAAAGAGCAGTTTCCACATTTGGTAAAGTTTTCATTCCTATCAGTAGAATGTTTTTAACACTTACCCTGAAAACTTTTAGCAGTTACCTATAAATAAACCTGTGCTTCTGAATTGCGACATAATGTACAGTATAAAACACATGCAAAAGCTAGACATTTTAAAAGGAAGAGATGGAAAATAGAGCACAAGCTACAGTTGTTTTCCACACCAGTGCATCACCCTGTGTGTCCCTGCCATGTGGGCTTCATTTCAGAAGACAGTGTTAATAGACCACTGTCTTTACTGAGCTATTTTAATGAGCTCTGATACATGGGTTTCTTTTGTGATAATTGCTTCTTACATTTAAAAACTTTCTCTACTAGCCTCTCTTCTGTAGAGGTGGTAAAGATTTTGAGGATTTAGGAATTAAAATTTGTTTTAAACTAGATTTAGATAATTTAGCATATCAGATAAATTTTCCTTAAATAAAATGCTTCCTCTTAAAATATTTTACATTCGCATCACAGAAGTATGATGAATGAAGACAGCTTACAGTTTGCAGCCTGGATCATGCTCATCCTCTTCTAAAATTAAAGATATCACGCTGGTTATCATTACTCAGTCTTGTCTAATGTGGGTGCTTTTCTTTTTAAAAATGAAAATGCCGTTTAGAATTCAAAAAATGACTAGTAGGGATACAAAGTTGTACAAAATAAACTTAGGAAACAAGGGAACTTATTGGGGCGATGGAAATGTGGGTCTCGATAGGGGTATGGGTTACACAGGTGTATGCATTTGTCAAAAACGATCAAGGGGTATGCTTGAATCAATATGTCTTACTCTATGAATACTACTCCGAAATTCACAAAAAAGAAAACCAACTTGGTCCCGACCCTCTTGGCTCAAGCCTACTACTTCAAAAGTGTTTAGAACTCTTACCCATTGTGCTACAATTTTCTCACTTGCTGTTGTTTCTAACCTCCTGACACCTCCCCAACTTTTATGTTTCCCCTCATCCCATTAATTAGATGTACCTAAGCCCTCTCTTGACATCTCTGTCATATTGATTTTAGCCAATAGGATATTAGTCTTAACTATTTTGGAATATTTCTAAGGGTTGGCCAAAAAGACACTTTGGTTTATAGGAAATATAGTTGTAGGCAATATTTTTTCAATGTGTAGGAGCAAGATTTACCATTGCCAGATGATACTATTGGTAAACTTTTGGAATAGTTCATTTACAAAAAGTAGCAGAGTTGATTCTTGAACAATATGAGTTTGAACCACACATGTGCACTTATTACATGTATTTTTTTCAATAAATACAGTACAGTACTGTAAATGGATTTTCTATTCCTGATGATTTTCTTAATAACATTTTATTTTCTCTAACTTAATTTATTATATGAATACAGTATATAACACATATAACATACAGAGTATCTGTTAATCAACTGTTTATGTTATCAGGAAGGTTTCCAGCCAACAGTAGGCTGTTAGTAGTTACGTTTTTGAGGAGTCCAAAGTTCTATGCAGCTTGTCAGCACTCCTAACCCAACCCCTATGTTGCTCAAGGATCAACTATATTTCCTATTGTACAGCTGCTGCTTTCAGATACATAAGTGAATGAATGAATAAATGAATAAAAATACATAAGTAAATAAATAAAGCTCTCGGACCAAAAGTACATTTTTGTTTGAGCACTGGAGAATGGAAAGGAAGAAAAACAAAGAAGCTCCATTGGCGATTTAGCTTCTAAAGGCACCATTGTACGTTGAGCCTTACAACTTACAAGTTGAGGCAACAAATTGCACTTGACTCCACCTTTGCACTAAAATGTTTTTCTTATATACCCAATTCAAATGCTTTCCACTGTCGGCATTTTTGGAAATGTGCCATTAAATATTTAGCCAATGTGGTTTTTACACGTTTGGGAAATTTTTATAAAAACTTAAAAAAAAAAAGAATGCTTCGCTTGAAGTCACCAAATAGGACTCTTTAATTATGAGAGTTATTTAGCTTTAAAATTTTTTAGTTAGGGGAAAAGCATGGGAAATCCAGAGATCTGGATTCTACCCCTAGCTCAGATTTGAGATCACAGTACCAAAGACCCTCAGCATTTGCTGGCTATTGTTTATGCGACAACACCTATTGATCGTTAAGAAAAGTGGGTGGGTGGTTATGAAGGGACCAGAAGAGTTCATTGACACGTATCTTCTGCCTTGTTGCTTTTCTATCTTTCTGGTTTCTTTGCAACCTTGGAAATAAATGGAAGTGATGGTTACAGAATATACTGGTGTGGAATTGCTTGGATTATGAAGAATAGACTCAAGTGACAAAAGCTGAAATTTGGAATCTTCTAAAATAATTGCCACCTTAACACGGACTTGGCAATATATTGCTATCTAGCTGTAGAGACATGTCTGTAATTCATATGCCAAATGCATCCATGATCTTCGAGCAGAAGATTTTCCTTGGGGACCCCCTCTTCTGCCTTGCAGAATCTCTGGCCTTTCTCTTGCTTTTTCTCTTGCATCAGATACCTAGAGCCCTTATGTGGCCCCCTGGCCAGCCAGTGACCCCCACCTGACCCCAGGCTGCACTCCTGTTTTAAAATATGTCTTCCTCTTCCTGGCCCCAGTACTCTTAGTCATCCATTCTCTTAGTCAACCTGGTGTTGATCTAATTTCAATGATCCAAATAAAGGAACTTTAACTTTGGGGTAGGTATAGGAAAGTGTTTGTATTTTCAGGGTATCTTATAAATTTGTTAACATACTCACTGGTATAGAGATATTGTGTATCTCTTTTCTAAACATAGCTATATCTGCCTCATTAAGAATATTTCTTTCCACCAACTACCAGTCAGCCAGGAAACCAAATGCATGGAGCCAGCGTGACCGCCATCTGCCATTATTAACTCACTGCCCCTGGCTCTTTCAAAGTAGCTTGATACTGAGTAAAAATGACACTACTTAGATTAAGAATTGGGTTGTATCAGTTATCCATGAATAACTGAAATAGGATTCCTTAGGGTAGGATGCCGTTAATACAGATTTGGGAAAAAAATTTTTTTTGACAGTAGAATAGCAGATTCCTACTTGCTTTAGACAAGGGGGATACACATAAAATGCCCCAAAGTCTCAGAAGTATACACATATTAAGCATAACCCATTTAACGATATAGACAAACTTGAAATGCCATGCAACAGAGAAAGAACCCATGCTAAAAACATTTTTAAACACAGAACTTCTAAAAAGTTTAGTTTTAATTAAGCTTTGTTATCAGTTTTCATTCCTACCCAGTGCCATTTTTCCATGCTAAAATTTTAGATCTCCAAATATAGGCAAAGAGATGGAACAAAAAATGTATTATTCTACATGTACATATTCCCTGAGGAAATGGGCAAAGAATTTTCCTAACAGCCCTCACCGACTCCAGAGGCAGCAGGTGAGAAGTCAGTATCACACAGCTGACTGGATGAGCGTGCTCTCAGTAAAGAGGAAAGGGGAAGTGTCTAGTTTTAGCACTCTGACCATATCGACATGCCATTTAAAAATGTTAACTTTTGATAATGGAGACTTTACCAGAGTAGTGATTATTTTCTTTATCAACTTAATACAAGCTGAGTAGAAACATTGCAACCTGGCACATTTTCCTTCCGGACCAGTAGCCTTAACAACAGCTGGGAGCTTTTAGAAATGCAAATTCTCAAGCCCCACCTCAAACACACTAAATCTGAAAGGCGTGAGAACCCGCAGTTGGTGGGTTAAGAAGTTCTCCAGGTGGTTTCAGGCACGCTAGGTAAAGTATGAAAACCACTCTACTAAGACATCCATTGCAGATACTGAATTACTTCTTTCCTATTCCTCTGGGATGGTAGTAGTTACCTAGGAATATTTCAACCTAGTACAATTTCTTTTAGTGGTCTTTATGTACTTCTTCATTTTCAGACATTGTAATTCATGCTGTGAAGCTTGGAACATTGACCAATCCCCCCTTCTTCTCCCCACCTCTCAACCAAGATTATTGCATCGTAGTAGTCTGAATTATTAGGTAGGAAAACTAAAATATTATTAGTTTTCTTCTCACTACGTTGAAACACAGAGGCATATAAATTTCTGTCCAATTAAAATCTCAGATAACAAGTATAAAAACTTCTGCCAAATTAAACTTTCAGATAGCTAATTTTCGTATCTCCAATGGGAGTAATTATTGTTTGTGTGTAATTTTTTCTCTTTAAGGATGACAGACCACGGTTGAGATGTTTGAATGCACAGGGTAAATAAGGCCGCCGTACTTGTAGGAGCCTATTTGCAGCTACGTGTAAGGAGTAAGACTCCTTTAAAAAGTGTGATAAGTAGTACAGACAACTTGCTTCAGGGATACTCGCCTGCTGCAAAAATTGCTTTATATAATTCTTGTCACAATAAACTTCTTCATAGGAGAAGAAAAGGTTAACAATTAACAACGTAGCTCGAAAGTGGGACTTGCAACAGCATCGAACACCCAACATTGCTACAAATCAAGATACAAAAGTTTCTGACTCTCCTTCTCAGGACCCCTCTCAGCTCCATGGAAGCGCCGTCGTCTCTGCATTTCCAGAGGAAACAGGGTATGAATGGTATTCTTTCCAGGTACCAGTGTCTTTGGGGAACTGAGTTTGGAGCAGAAATGGGGAACTATTTCACATATAACTATTTAAAAATAGTTATCTTAAGAAAGCCTACTAAGATTAGAAATTTAAATTTATTTATTTTTACATTTATTTATTTTTGAGAGACAGAGAGAGACAGAGCGTGAGCCGGGGAGGGGCAGAGAGAGAGGGGGACAGAATCCAAGGCAGGCCCCGGGTTCCGAGCTGTCAGCACAGAGCCCAACGTGGGGCTCGAACCCACGAACTGTGAGATCATGACCTGAGCCGAAGTCGGACGCTCAGCCGACTGAGCCACCCAGGCGCCCCTAGAAGTTTAAATTTAAAAGTGAAGGTAGAAATACTGAAAATATAAACTGACCCCTAATTAAAACACACACACACACACACACACACACACACACACACACACACACACTTCAGTACTTTACTATTTTTCATAGGAAAAAAACCCCAGATTTCATCCCTCATCATCGGACACTAATTTGACGGTGCCTCAGGGCCTTTCAGATCGGTCACTTCCCATCTCAGAGCCTTGCTGCTACAAACAGCTGTGTTGTCCCCTGCCACTACTTCCCTGCCCTGCTTCCCTCCCCCTGCCCTGGCTAATGCCAGCCTGCCAGTTTTAAAGTTAAACCTCACGTCCCCGGAAAGCCTTCCCTAACTACCCCCTGGAGACTAGACTAGATCAGATACGCCTCTTATCTCTCTCAGTACTGTGCACTCCCCCCTTCTCAGCACTTACATAACCATGATTAAATAACTAGTGGGTAATTAGTTGTTTCCTGTCTTCCTTACTAGAGTATAACTTGAAGAGGAAAAGAATCCTGATTCCGATTGCTGATGGTCTTGACCCAGCAGCCAGCACAAGACCTTACTCCTAACTAATAGTATTAAGCAATTTTGGCATAAAATCTGAATAATTACTCCAGTTGTGTTCTATAATATCGATCTATCCCAGTGCCTTACAGCCTCTTTTCTTCTGTGACGTAGGTGCCACATAATTACATATCCCCTGGTTTGTGAGCAAATCTGAGTACATTATGTAGATTTTACATATTTCTCTTCCTCTTAAGAAAGCATATTGGAATCAAGTAAATGTGAGGGATATAAAGCATATTTATGTGTATAGTTTATTTATAATTTTAAAAATGTATGTAACTTAAAAATAAAGCCTGAAAGTCAAAGATAGAATGCATACCAATTTGATTTCATTTGATGAAGCTCTATTACCTAATGACCTTAACCAAATTACGAAGCACACTTCAAACTGAATGTGATGTAGCTTTTCTTTTGAGTTTTCAGGTCATATTCTATAAACTTTTTCATACACAAAGAATGCCATGAAGAAAATAATTTAAGAGGCATTAGACTAACATTTTGGAAGTTTTCCGGAGTTAAAGAGTGTGACATATATTTAGACAAATATACTTCAAAAATGTTAGTTATAGGATTAATCTGTATTGATCTGTGTACTTACTTTAGCTCACGTGGGTATCATATCCACATGCAGAGCCTCTCAGCCCTTTCAGCTAGCAAAATAAAGCAATAAGAATAGCGATTTTAATCAAGTGACAATTTATAAAACAAATATGTATCCTTCTTATATTGCCCTAGAGCTTTATGTAATATTCTTTTACTTGGTCAGAACTATAACATTTTATAAAGTTAAAACTTTAGATTTATGACATACACTACACAAGTCAGTTTATTTCTGATGGCTCTTTTTAAAAAAATTTTTTTCCCTATCTTCCTTAAGATGGTTTCCTAGATCCAAGTTTATCCAAATAATCTTACACATTATATTCAAAAATTTTAATAAGGTTTTAAAAGTTAGTTCTTTCTACATCAACTTTATTTTCATATGTAGTGTTAGGTGAGAGTCTAACCTGATTTTATTTCAATTGGTTAATTGATCATAGCATTGCTTAATTAAGGTATTCTCTTTTTTAATGAGAATGCCATTTGCCTCTTACATTAAGTTCCTGTAAATATTTGGAAATATTTCTGAACTTCCTATTCCATTTCACTTATCTGTTTATCTGTGTTAATAATCAGAACTATTTTGATGATAGTAGTTTTTTAGTACATTTTAATATCTATGTAGGGGAAATCTTTCACTATTCAGAGTTTTAATTCTCCCACACTTGTTCTTCCATATGAACTTTAAAATCATTTAATCTATGACTAACATTGTATGTTGAGTATACTTCAGTGAAAAATTATTCATCTAAACAGAAACGTTAAAAATCATATTCAAATGACATTTAAGGTATTAATTTCAGAGGTATTGACATTCTTAAGATAATAAATCATCACTTTAAAAATCATGGTATATCTCCATTTTTCCAGGTCTTGTTTGGTATCCAGAGGGAGCTAATTAGGGAAGTGTTGAAAGATTGAAGGAAAATTCTGAAGAACTAAATGAGCTTAGAGACTATGAAATTGTAGCAACTATAGTCAGAATTGTTGAATGAGTATTCCAGGAGCACAGAGTAGGTAGGTATAACAGTAGAGAAGCCATGTATGTTTGATAAAGAATAAGGAGATAAAGGATCAAAGGTAAATAATAAAAAATTCAAGTATAATGATAAAAGGAAAAATGATGGGTCATATGGTCTGGGCTAGACTTTTAAAGAATTAAAAAATAGAAGGTTGCCTACAGATCAGGAGAAAATTTAGTATTTCTGAGACCAGAAGCCTAAATGAAGTTGAAGATGAGAAGCCTGGGAAGTAAGAGGGTTAATAGTGAGCTCAGATAGTGGGAGCTTATGGTCAGGGTTAAGATGTTGAAGTTGAAGATTTTAAAGGCAGGACATATCTAAGTAATGACAACATTCAGAGCGATTTGGAGGCCACTGTCGTGGCCATGGAGTGGGTCGTTGGAGAAGAGAAGTGAAGGTCACCAGAGGGAGATCAGTTGAAGCTATTATTGAACATATTGCAGTTGATGGTAGAACTAGATATGGAACAAGGGGTCAATGCATTCAGCAGTGATCAGCCTTATCTCCCTCCAGTCTGAGTCATGCATCCTATGCTCTTGTTAAACCATTCACTATTCCCACTATTTTATTGGTGTTGGCGGCTACAGCGAGTGCAGAAATGTCTTTGTTTATTAACTTGCTCTTTTACCTGGCAAAACTATCTCTGACAGGTGAATCCCAGACTGCTAATATGATTTTCCCAACGCTTTGAACTTTTTAGGCAGCTTATGGCCAAACGTTCTGTGATCCTCTAAAATCATTTAAAAGTATAGAGTCTTCACTTTCATGGCCTCAAAAACAAGCAATGAGTTCCAAGAGAAAGAGGAAGTATCTGTTAGTGAAAATTGTTATGCCTTATACTTACTGCCAAGAGTTTCAGAATTTTTATTAAAAGTTCCACAAAGTCAGAGAGGCCTTTTAAGCAAGAACTACAAAGGAAGAGTTTGGGAGAGATGGGAAAAGTGATGTATGGGTTCAGTGGAGAGGATGTGGAGAGCAGTAATGAATCATTGGAAAGGGATCCACGATTTCTGGCAAAAGATTTGTATTTTACTGATGTAAGTTCAAAGTGCCATGGAGACACCATTTTCTCGGTCTGATCCTTTTAAGAACTTAAACACTGTGAAGTCAAGGAGACACCGATGATATTTGAAGTCAGAAAAGTAAAATTCTGAACATAGTGAATTATTGGTGAAACTTTAACGTAAAATTACTTGTAACTTCTACAATGGTTAATGCTAATTTCTTCAATTTAGTTGGCAGTTGTGTGATTCATGTAAAATCTCTTGCATCTGAAAGATAGAAATATTTCTGAAAGCTGATTATACCTTGTATGTGTATATACCAGAGGCTTTTTTTTAAGTTTGTTTATTTATTTTGAGAGAGAGACAGAGAGAGCATGCACAAGGGGGGTGAGGGGGGGGACAGCAGAGAGAGAGGAGAGAGAGAATCCCAGCACACTGTCAGCACGGAGCCCGACATGGGGCTCAATCTCACAAACCCTGAGATCATGGCCTGAGCTGAAATTGAGTCGGACACTTAACCAACTGAGCCACCCAGGCACCCCTACACCAGGAGCTCTTAACCAGAGTATCCAGACTGACTGTTTGAAATTGAAGTCTTTGTTTTATACTTGAGCTCTCCACACCATTTGACATAGTTGACACTCTTCATCTTGAAGGGCCCTTTGCATTCACTTTCCTGATAGCACATTCACCTGATTTTCCTTTTACCTATGTGGCTGCTGTTTTTGTTTGTGTTTTGTTTTAAATAATACCTTGCTAACTCCTTTTCTACCAAATCTCTAAATGTATATTATGCTTTCTCGGTTTATAAAGTTTAGATAGACTTTTGTGGGGCGCCTGGGTGGCTCAGTTGATTAAGCGTCCGGCTTTGGCTTAGGTCATGATCTCACGGTTCATGAGTTTGAGCCCCATATTGGGCTCTCTGCTGACAGCTCAGAGCCTGGAGCCTGCTTCTGATTCTGTTCTTTCCCTCTCTCTCTGCCCCTCCCCTGCTCTGTCTCTCTTTCTTTCAAACATAAACATTAAAAAAATTTTAGATAGACTTTTGGCCATAATAGACAAGGATTCAGCTCACTCACTTGTTATCCTCCAACACTATATACCTAGAGTTCTTTTATTGATAACTTTTGTAATTTACTATAATTAAACCTCTATTTTTGTTCCATCTGCTATAGACAGTAGCTCTCAAGTTTGCATTGTGCAAGATGAGTCTACCCTTCTTTTTACTTCTCCCACTTTTGTCCATTGCAACTTTTTTTTTTTTTTTTTTTTTTTTTTTTTTTTTTTTTTTTTTTTTTTTTTTTAGTTTATTTATTTTTGGGACAGAGAGAGACAGAGCATGAACGGGGGAGGGGCAGAGAGAGAGGGAGACACAGAATCGGAAACAGGCTCCAGGCTCTGAGCCATCAGCCCAGAGCCTGACGCGGGGCTCGAACTCACGGACCGCGAGATC